TATGTGTGTGTGTATGTATGTGTGTGTATGTATGTATGTATGTATGTATGTATGTATGTATGTGTGTATGTATGTGTGTCAGTGTATGTATGTGTGTCTGTGTATGTATGTGTGTGTGTGTGTATGTGTGTATGTGTGTGTGTATGTGTGTATGTGTGTATGTGTGTATGTATGTATGTATGTATGTATGTATGTGGTAGTAGAATTGAATCGAAACCTCGGCTTCCCCTCTATTCCCCTTTGATATCATTCGCTGACCGAACCTTGCTCGGCCGAGAAGGTGCAGGGCACCCAACCATTGCGATGCCTTCCTGAGCTGTCTATTGGCAAGCTGGAACTCTCGGCTTTGTCCATCAGCTGGGGGTGCTCGATCCCTTTACAGCAGTGTTCTGCAAACAAGGGGCAGGTTCTGTGCTGGGCTTTTGATTTACTACGCCATCATTCTGACGAAATCGATCCTGAACGAAGCTATAGCAGAAGTGATCAGAAAGAGAACAATTTGTAGTGACGCTAACCAGACCATGGTCCTTTACAGCCCACCAGAATATTTCGCCAACATAAAGAGCCTGGCCATAGCTGCGAATACCAAGTCATCAAATCCGATCGCTCCACGTTCCGGCCGAAAGGACTCACAGGCAGGGATGGGATTCGGGTCCGTAGCGATGCAGGGCATGTACGCGGAAACACAGTCTGGAAAGAAGCGCCTTCAGTTGAGGAGTTCAACAAAGAAAAGCCTAAAGTTAGAGGGTTTCTTGCTGCGCTTCGTGTCGAAATCTCCGGGATCGCACTGGCATTCTGGAGCCCTGTGTAACAAAGCGGTTCAATTCTGAACCACAGCCAATCAACATCTACACCGAACTATGCCCCGATACTTGAAAGCATGCATCCCAAACATTGCACCAACCTAATAAGTCTCAGGAAGACTTGAGGGAACCACTTGTTGCAAGGAAGCTGCCCGCACGCGCTGATGGCTGCACTCCTTAGACTTCACAACACCACATCAAAGCAGCTTGAAAGCAAAGCCGGAACTTTGAAGTTCACTCAACAAGAGCTCAGCCGTGACCATGAAAATGTCAACTGGCTGCTGTATTTACCAAGAGCTTCGACACTTGGCTGAAGTTGATAAAGGGTTCAAGGCTGTATTTAGCCAGCTTCGACACTTGTCTGAAGTTGGGAAAGGTTTCAGAATGACAAGTGGAGATAACCGCAGCCTGGAATTGTGGGCTTGGAGCCCGAAGCTGTTCCAACATCAGTCCCGAGCGCAGGGTGATCAGATTCACTTGCAGTCCTTGGTCCGCCGCCTGCGAAAGCAACTGCAAAGCCCGTCGCCACTCCGCGGCCTGAAAGGAATAACCAAAGGCATGTCTGGATCGCTCAGTGAAGCTGTGCTCTCGTAGGCTGGTCGCCAAGTTTGAAACCCTGTGCCGATTCTGGTCTGTAACTTCGCGCGGAAACACTGCTGCACACAGTTCTTCGTGCATCGAGATTAAACCGCTACATCTAAGTGCTTGTAGTGGCTTGCATGCACTGATGGCTGAAGGCTGAAGGAAACCGAGGTTTGACATGAAAGCCAACGACTGCCTTCTCACAGGCACTTATGGCCGCGCTGTAGCTGGTCACGTCGGCCTCCAGCTGCCAGACCTCAGTTTTGCAGCGGTCTCGAGACAGAGCTTGGAAACGTTCGGGGCGAAACGAGGTGAAACGAGTGAGAGGGCAGCTGGCCTTTCTGAGTCCGATCAGCGTTCTAACACCCGCACGGCTGGAGTTCAAATCTTCGGAAACATCTCTAAACAACTTATTGCCCTGATCCTTCCAAGCCTTGAGAAGTCGCCGAGTAACGGCTAAATCGACCAGCAGCCACAAGGCTTCTTCCCATCGGACGGCCTTTTCCTTGCAAAAGAGACGATCGAAACTCTCAGGCAGAGAGACTGCAGGGAGTAAATGGCACTGACCGAAGCACCAAAACAGACTACGAAACACAAAAGACAAACATGACATGATGGAGTTCACGATGTCTTTGCAGTCAGTAGTGCAGTCCGAAGCGATAGTTGTATCACCTTTTTTTCTTCCGCCCTCCCCCTGCATTCACTTCCGGGCTTCCGGGACAGCGATTCAGGGTAGCACAGCTGCAGCAGCAGCAGCAGCAAATGTTGTCGCACAAGCCGTATCCGGCCGTATCCCATCTCAGCCAACGAAACTATTCCACAACCACTCTCCCTGTGGAGAAGCTTCGTATTCCAGGAACATGGGCAGCAACATCGGATGGAATTCGCAAATGCACATTCCATCCCAGCTTCTCTTGGCATGATCAAACACTGTTGTCCACATGTGAACAAACGGAGACGGAAACTAGACCATGATGCAAAGACCGAGGCTCACATGCACTAATACCTGCACTCAGCGCCACGATGTTGAGACGCAGCCGACCGTCGCGAGCAGACGAAAGAAGCTGCAGAGCTTGAACCCACTGGCTAGCCTTGACGGGAGGTTGGAGGGGTCTTTGTTTGAGGGCACAAAACGAAAGTAATGAACAATGCGTGCACAGAGCATCCTCCTGAAACCGAAAGTCGGGTCTGAAGCAAAACCAACCCGGACATCCGCGACCATCCCAAAGAATACAGCAGTTACATCGCGGCCAAACTGTCTATGCCTTCTCACACGCACTGACCGCCGCGCCGCACGTCACCACGTCCACAGCCAGCTGTTGATGCTCCGCACCGGAAAAAAGAAGAAGTGCCTGGAAGTTTGGGGGTGTGGATTTGTTTGCTGAGGCTCAAAACTAGTTGAGGAGCTGAAGGGCATTTGGGGCTGTGGCCCAGAACTTCAGGAAATCCGTGCTTCAAGCTTAAGTTTCGGGCTGAATTGGGCGTACAGCTGGGTGGAGCATGCTCGCCTGCTGCCATTGCTCCCCTCGCCCGCAAGCACTGATTGCGGCATTCCTGGGCAGCAGCCCGAGACAGGAAACCAAAAATCAAAGTCCTGCACAATGCAAAAGTCATCAAATGCATCCGCGCGCAAACCGGTACATGCACGCATGAATGGATGTACATACACATCTGGGCATGCATGTGCGTATGTACTGTGCTGCAGTGCATAGGAAAGTCATGTAGCGTAATGCACAAACTGTAAAAGTCCCCGCTTTGCAACCAGAATCCCCACTTTACCAGACCAGAATCCCCACTTCACAACCCATTAGCCTTTCCAGAATCCCTACTTTGCAACCGGTTGCGAACCCTTCTTAACTAACAAGCATATTAACTGACAACGTCAAAGCCTGGAACCTCCAGCATCATCCTTTACAGCAACCATGCAGGTTGGAAAGTCCTGCTGGTTGCAACGTGGGCGCTCTTAAGCCGAACTCGAGACATATGTGTATATATACATATATGTGTGTTTACATAGATACATACATACATACATACATACATACATACATACATACATACACACATACACATGTACATATACATATATATATATGTATATGTATATACATACACACACACACATGTATCATTATCTTGGTTTGAGCGGTCATGTGTGTTGTCGTAAACAAGACATCCATGACCATACATCGTACCTTTATCTTGGGTTGCAGCGGGGGGGTGTTGTCGTAGACAGGACATCGTGGGCAATATTTCGTACCTTTATCTTGGTTTGTAGCGGGCGTGTGCTGTCGTAGACACGGCATCCTGAGCAATACTTCGTACCTTTATCTTGGTTTGTAGCGGGTGTGTGTTGTCGTAGACACGGCATCCTGAGCAACACTTCGTACCTTTATCTTGGTTTGTAGCGGGTGTGTGTTGTCGTAGACACGGCATCCTGGGCAATATTTCGTATCTTTATCTTGGTTTGTAGCGGGTGTGTGCTGTCGTAGACACGGCATCCTGGGCAATACTTCGTACATTTATCTTGGTTTGTTGCGGGTGCGTGTTGTCGCAAACAGGACATCTTGGGTAATACTTCGTATCTTTATCTTGGTTTGTAGCGGGCATCCTGGGCAATACTTCGTATCTTTATCTTGGTTTGTAGCGGGTGTGTATTGTCGTAGACAGGACATCCATGACCATACTTCGTACCTGTATCTTGGTTTGTAGCGGGTGTGTGTTGTCGTAGACAGGACATCCTGGGCAATACTTCGTATCTTTATCTTGGCTTTAGCGGGTGTGTGTTGGCGTAGACACGACATCCTGGGCAATGCTTCGTATCTTTATCTTGGTTTGTAGCGGGCGTGTGCTGTCGTAGACAGGAGATCTTAAGCAATATTTCGTATCTTTTTCTTGGTTTGTAGCGGGTGTGTGTTGTCGTAGGCAGGACATCTATGGCCATACTTCGTATCTTTATCTGAGGTTTTGTGGGTGCCAGTCAAGCTGCTAGTCTTTGGAATTAATGATCACGGTCTCACAACTCGGATATAATTAGTAGGTTTACGAGAGCGCTCTTGGAGTTGTGGCTTGCAAACTGAGGGTCTTCTAGTTGAAAAGCTCTACATTCTTCCGAAGCTGTCCGCATCATGGCAGACCAGCGGCAGGGTGGTTTGGAAGCTCGCAAACGGTACCGAAGAAACGTTACTTTGTGTGATGATTTGACCGAACGGGCAGCATGGCCTCTGCAGAACTTGGCGCAACCAAGATCATCATAACAAGCAGACTTCGAGGAGTAAGTCTGTTTCCAGACAGTGTCTTCTGAAGCCACGAACGTCGCTGTTCCAGGAGTTTCATGCGCAGCTGGCCGTTTCATCTGGTTGTAGTATATTGTACTGTACTATCAAAGTGTATTGTGCTCTTTTTGGAAAGCTCTGTAGCAGGTTCCCAGTTCCCATGCGGGTTCTGCACATTATTTAGTGTCTATTCATCTCTACAGATGTGTGCAACTACATACATAGTACGACTCATGCTTGAGACCCCTATCTTCGAAGCCGAAAATTTAGGATTCTCGACAAGGTCTGGAGACTCCATAAGCGCACTTTAAGGGGCCTCGAGGCATTAGCAAACTATTAGGGAGCTAGGTAGGTTTGTTGTAAGACACCCGCCTCTCAAAATAGGCGCGTGTCGGGCCTGTTTGGAGCTTTGGAAGGACCGAGCTCGTTTATGAAATCCCAATAGGCCTTAATCATAGTAAGACATGCCGACAGACATGCAGACATGAATACAGACATGCAAACATGCAAACAGACATGCAAGCATGCAGACGGGTTGCAAAGTCGGCATTCTGAGGATCGACAGTTGTAAAGTGGGGATTCTCACATCGAAATCAGTGTCCGTGATTGTAAAGTAGGGATTCTGGTTGTAAAGTGGGGATTCTGGTCGTAAAGCGGGTTAATCTCATGTGTAAGTGTGCCTATACACTTATGCGTATACATGTGCGGTATTCATGTATGTGCATATCAGAAACCACCTATTGGCTGTATGTATTCCGCTGTATTCCTTTTTACATGAGTCACAGTATTCTTATTTGCGCATATGCTTAAAGAAACTTCAACAATGTGTAGCAGCAGGTATGCTTGTTTCGTTTGGCTTCCGTATTCGCACAACAGCACTCGCCCAAACCTTATCCTGCCTGAGGGCTCTGTCCATGCGGAGAATAGCTACCCTGCAAGTCGAATTTCGTTGTAGCTTGGGAACTTTTTGTCTGCGTGTACTGGTGCCTCAACTCCTCATCATCGACCCAAAATCCCAACAACTTTGCATGCAGCTGAAACCATCTGAATTACCCTGCTCGCGAAGCTGCATCCAACCCAAATTACAAGGGTCTACACTCCAAGACCCAATCCGAGACTTGAATACCTCAGTCCTCAGCCCCAAGCTGCGAAATTCCAGAGCCATGGCTCAACGCTACGATGCTCTGCAGTCGCCGAGCCCTCATCTCCATCAGAAGTCGCAGTGCCATGGTAGCCTCGAGGCAGCGCTCTTGACATAACGCGAGTTTCAATGGTGTGTTCGATGCCTTAGTGAGCTCCAGACTAGGAACTTCGATCATTGTATTCGAATGAGACTTCTTGTTCGTCGTGAATGCTACACTCATCATAGGTCCTCATACTGATAGCATGTGTATGCGCATGCCGTATTGCTAGGTCGCCAAGTCGCCCCAACAAGCATGATGGCTTGGAAACAGAAATGCAGCCCAAAACAGAATCGCGGGTATGCAATCGCCAAATCAACTGTGATGGCGCCGGTGATGATGATGATGTTGTTGTTGATATTTGGTATCATGCTATTTCACGACGAAATCGCACGACTTGCATTGCTGTAGAACCGAAAGCTAACCAACCCGCTTTCCCCTTGAAGCCAAAATGACCCGCCTGCTACCACGGTGGGTCCATAGGTTGACAAATGAAGCTGTCGGTTATCAGACCATGGTGTCGTTTGCCCTGCACGCTCAACCCTCTGCCCTCCCGTTGCCTGCCCTGTGCGCTCACAGACGCTTATTGCAGAGACATAGGAGATCACGTCCAGTTGAAGGCCATTTGTTTCAACCTGGAGAGATGTTTGGCAGTTGCCATGCAGTAAGCAAAAACAGTCTCTGTGCCAGTATGTGACATCAAGACCCAAGGTTCAAGACCCCGGTCTCTTGTCTTTTCATTTGGGGTGCACGGACTCACGCTCTGGATCCTGCATTTGTTCGACTTCGTAGTGTCCGGAATCCTGCAAAGATCAAGCTCCATGCAAAGCCTGCAAGCTCGCCTCACACCTTACCACACAACCACACGGAAACTGTGAAATCTGACGATATTTGAGGGGAAGCTATTGGCTCCATAAATTCCAAATGCAACTCGCAGGTCCGCCTGCGAAAGCACCTCCAAGGCAAGGCTCCACTGAGTGTCTTGCTCCTCGCTTGGTGTGTGGTGTGCGGTGGCAGAAGCTATTCTCGGCTTCCGTTATTCAAAAGGTTCTTGCATGCGTGGGGCTTGGGCTGCTCGGTGCTTCTATTTTTGACAGCTTGAGGGTTTTGAAGAAAAGAGCTCGCGCATGCGCAAACCCTGCCACATGAATTGAACTGGCAAAATGTCGCAAACTGCAACGCAACGACCTCACAGCCCGAAGACCCTACCTCCAGGGTGCGGAGAATCAGGTTGTAAGTGAAAACATCTGGTCTCAGTTGTCGGCCCTGGGGCACGGAAAGCAGTAGAGGAGAGGCAGATACCAGGTGGTGAAGGATACGTGAAGCTTGGATCAAGAGGCTGTTGCGTTGGGTCGACATGTAATTTGGCCAGACTAAAACTGAACACGACATGTGGCGACCGGAATTTCAACAATGAGTGGACCCTCCCTGGTCTATGCATAAGAGTCTTCAAAGGATCGACCCCCCAATGCCTTTCTGCATTGTTGCCATGTGCAACATACACTCGGCTATACTACCGGTGGAATCGGAAAGCAGCCCGCTGAGCATAACTCATTGAGAAATTAAAGGCGCCAACCTCCTCGGAACGTCACAACTTTCCCGCCAAATTCAAACAGCACCTAAAGAATGAGCTTTTGACTCATGGCACCTAAACAGGGCCTCGAGCTGCTGGAGAAGATCGCAGCTGAGCGGCCACAAACCTGATCCTTGGCCTCGCGAATACATGGGCATTGCTGCGTTGTTCTAGATCGGAGTCCCTTTCACAGATGAGCAACGCTCGGGAGACCGGGCAAGAAGAAAACATGTTCAAAGAGCAACTGTGCCATATTAGTTGAGCACAATAAAAAGGGCGAACATCAAAGACATTCATTGACGGACTTAGAAAAACGGTTGAACAACGTGTAGTTCGGTAGACGACTTTGAGAGTCAGCCCTTCCCCTCCCAATCTGTGGCCAAGCTTGCCTCCTGCAAACCTTCTTGTTTGATGATAGCTGGGCGTTCGCTGGGAAGGCTTGAGCGAAACATGCAGCTTTAAGGCTCACAGTCACATCGAATCTGCAGGGATGATGCCCCTCGGCAAAGAGAGTGCCCCCGTCGCTTTCACGTAGACCCTAACTTTGGCACTCCGGAATTACCAACCTGAACATGTTGTCTGAGATATTCAAGCTCGAAGTGGCATGCACAGATCCCGGCATTGAAAGTCACGATGTCTGGGGCAAGAGACGTCGCTTCTGTTTCCTGCCAAGCACCATGATACCAAACTAACCAGACTGAACTCTCTTTGGATGCTGACTAATGACTTCTTGCGGTTGAGCATCTATGTTTGTGATGCCAGGGATGGGCTTCAAGTTCTGAGGCTTTGTGCATCTGACACCAGTACTCAGCTGTTTGTGGGATATTGGTGGTGGCGTCGTTGGTGTTGCTGATGCTGCTGATGCTGCCAATGCTGCCGATGTTGCCGACTGCCGATGCTGTTGGGACTGCTGGGACTGTTGAGACTGCTGGGAGTGCTGTGAGTGTTGTGACTGCTGGGACTGCTGGTCGTGGTCGCTGTCGCTGTGGTTGTGGCTATCGTCGTTGTTGTCCTTGTGGTTGTTTTGAGTGTGCTCGTGGTCGCCGTGGTCGCGGTGGCTGTGATGGCCACGCGTGGTTAATATACACAGAGAAACACTAAATGCCGAATCCAGTCACTGAAAACTCAGCTATCACCTTCGATACCCGCACCCACGCAACCCTCCGCCTGATGGAATTCTCAATCGACATTGACATGTTTTAAATTGTGCAGGGTGTTCAAACATGAGGGCCTGCACCATGTGAAGCGCCAACTCCCAGAATCGTGGCGTGCCGCAGGCACTAATGGCAGCGTTGTACCTGTTCTGCGGAAACCTACCCGAAACGTAAGACTTCAGCAGGCAGCCGAGTTCGAATGTGTACGAGACGGAAGCACTCGACCAAGGCAAGGCCCTTTCGGCTCTTTGCGGTTCCGAGGTTTTGGGACTCCAGCCACAACTTCTCGGTCATCGGGGTCTGAGAGGCATACGATGCGGGCAGGGCACACGACGATGTCCAGCTGAAGCCCCTGCCTCTCCACCTGCTCTACACATGGAGGAAAGCTTGAAAAAAACGATAAGACTACCGTCCAAGGCCAGGCACCAAAACGTTTATCACTTCGCTGTCCCTCTCAAGCCACGGGAGCACAGAACCCAGTCACATCTAAACATCTGTGAGTACGTATCTAAATCTGCGAGCATCCTTGGATTCCGAAAACCAATGTCGGTTGCCACACACCCTGCACGTCGCTTCGACTCGAATGCCCCGATCCCAACCGCGTCCTTGCACCTAACCCTGAAGCCGCAAGAACACCAATCCCTGGAGCCCGAAAAGAAACCCTGTCGAGCCTCGCCAAGCAAGGCAAGCGCTTGCATCCACGCCATCGAGGACTGGCAAGAAGAGATGGCCAATGTGTAAGTGACCAAATCCTTGGCTTTCGACAGTACAAGACTATCCCAAACCTGGAAAGGCGTCCCCGCAAAAACTACCCAGCAGTGACGGGGTCCAAGGTACTGGCGATTAGTTATGCTTAGTTCTGCAATGCTCGATCTTCATCTTGCTTCAACGGTACCGTTTCTCAGCAATGCTCGACAAAGGGAAGTCTTAATTAAGGTTGCGGCCCAGCCTCTGGCTGCAGTTGCCCGGCCTCCATCTCTTCCTTAGATGCCCCGAGCCTTCGCGCTCGGGCCGAAGTTGTGGAGTGCACCCATCCCAACGCTTCAAACCCAAGCAAAAGCACCTCAAAGGCTGCCCTAGTAGCGATCAGTGCAACTGCACGGCACCAAACATCTGCACAAGGATCCTGACAAGCACCTGTCACGGGCATCGGTGGACAAGCAATGCGCACGAACCTTGACGTAAACAAAGTGCGTAACGCCTCAAAGCCAAAAGCGTGTAGTAGCCTTTTGAAAAGCGGCAATGCGCGATAAGCTTTGAGCTACATGGGCCGGCCCCTCTAAAACCTGAGCTCCAAACCTGAATATTGAGAAGTACAAAAAGTCTGTAAACGTCCTCCAATGCTACATAGCTTCCCGATAACTTAGATTTCCAGTATGGGATGCTCCCTGCAGCCAAGGCACTGATGGCAGCATTGTAAGTTACGACCGTTGGCAAGACTTGGCAATCATGCAGCTGATTCAACAAAGCCATTGCAGTCCGCCACTCCCCGTCTTCCCTGCAAGCACTCATCGCCGCATTGTAAGTGACGGCATTTGGAAGCATACGCAAGTTCCCAACTCCTTCCAACAGGAGGCATGCCTCCTGCCAGCGTCCAGCCTTCTCACACGCACTGATTGCAGAATTGCAAAGAATAATATCCACTTGCACGGCTTGCCTCGCCGCCCAACTGAGCAATCCCAATGCTTGCTCCCATTTAGCACCCCGCTCACAGGCGCTCACAGCTGTGCTCAAGGCCACAACGTCGAGGAGTAAATTGTTGTCTTGTGCATGCACAAGCAGAGCCAGGGCCATCTGCCACTTGGCAGCTCTTTTGCAAACATTGATGACAGCACCATGCACCCGTGCGTTCGCCTGCAACCCCTTGTTGCAAAAGTCCGCCAAGGACGCGAGGGCTCGCTGCCACTGTGCTTTCGGCCCACAGGCATGGATGGCGTTTTTGTACTCACTTAGGTTAGCCAATGCGTCTTTTGCACCGCCATGCAGCATGCACATGCGCTTAATTCACTCCCGACTGCAGGGGAGGCCAGGCGGATTTACAACATTCGAATTCCGGCTCGAGGGGCACCATGGCAAAAAAAATGTGCGTGGATAGCCTGAACATTGAGTGACCTTCATAAAGTCTGGTTGCAGAAAACCGAAACGGCTCACCTTGTGTCGAAGCCTCTTTGCTCAATACTCACAGCTTGCAGCTCTCCCTGCATGTCGATGTACCCGTGGCAACATAACATCCTTTAAGCATTTGCCAATCATGCTGTTTGGAAACTACGATGAATGCCTCTACTTTTGCCCCGTCATGAAGAATCACCTGGATGCAAGGACTTGGACCGTTGGTTTTATGACATGGTGTATTTGAGCCTGCTGATCTCTGCAGAACAAAAATCAACTCAATGAAATCTGCGATGCTCTGCCTCTCCTCCTCTCCCCCTCGTCCTCTCCCTCCTCTCCCCTCTACCCTCTCAGTCCTCTCCGAAGCTGGGAGGAACGCTTGGCCACCACCGTTCCAGGAACAACGGCTCCCCCGCCCCCCTCCCAAAAGCAAACCCCCATTCTCGAGCCGAGATTGGGGGTTTACTTTTTGCCATTTTCCAAGCCCCTCATCAGAAGCTCTAAAACCTTGCTCCACTGAACCGCCTAAACTCAACCCAAAAGCCCCAAAGCGCACAACCTCAAAATCCCGAAATGCCTAAACGGCTAAACTCCTGAACCCCTAAATCCTCAAAACCCAAGAGGCCAGCAACCCAACCAAAAGCCCGATCGCTCTGAAACCCTACACCTCTAAGGCCCCTAACACCCTGAAGCCCCGAAACGTTTGAACCCCCGAACCCTTAAAGCCCAAAAGCCTCGAAGCCCGCAACCCCAAAACCCGAAACGCCCAAACGCACCCCGGAACCCCTAAACCCTAAAAGCCCAAAAACCCAAAAGCCCATACGCTCTAAAACCCTAAATCTCTCAAGCCCTGAAATCCTAAACCCGAAAGCCCAAACGCTTAAGCTCCTGAACCCCTAAACCCAAAAGCCCCAAACGCCCTAAAGTCTAAAAGACCTTAAAGCACGAATCCCCAAAATCCCGAAACCCCTGAACACTTGAACTCCTAAACCCTTAAAGCCCAAAAGGCCAAGCACCCAAAGCCCAAACGCTCTGAAACCCTAAACCGCTGAACCTCTGAGGCCCTCAAGCCCGAAACCCTCAAGCCCCGAAACGCCTAAACCTTTGAACCCCTAAACCCCTCAAGCCTTAAAACCCAAAAGTCCAAATCCCTACAGCCCTAAACCTAAAGTACCTTTAAGCCCTAAACTAAACCCCAAAACCCCGAAACGCCTAAATGCTTAAACTCCTGAACCCCTAAACCCTTCAAGCCCCAGAGCCAAAATACCCAGAAACCCAAACGCTCTAAAACCCTAAACCTCTAAAACCCCTAAAACCTAAGCCCTGAAGCCCTGATGCCCGAAAGGCCGAAACCCTGAAGCCCCGAAACGCCTAAACCCCGAAACCCTTAAACCCTTAAACCCTTAAACCCCAAAGCCCTAAAGCCCGAAACTCCAAAACCCCGAAACGCATCGGCTCCTAAACTAAAGCCCTATACCCTTAAACCCAGCTTGCTGACCTACGCTATAGGCTTTAGGCTTTAAAATTACACAAATCAGGTGTTCCTACTCTATGTATCGAGAGACTTAAACCCCAACCCCTTAGACGAAACCTTAGTCACCAACCGAGCCATTAAAGGTTTGGGGGTTTAGGCATTTAAGGACTTTGGAGTCTAGGGGTTTACGGGTTTAGAAGGTTAAAGTTTTAGGGCTTTACGGGATTAGTGGATTAGGGCTTTAGAAGTTTAAGGGTTTAGTGCCCAAAAAAAGCTTGAAGCTGGTCATCGAAATCAATAGAAAACCTCCATAAAATCAATAGGAAGTCTCCATAAAATCAATATCTCCAAAAAATTAATCGAAATTTTCCATGAAATCAGTAGAAATTCTCCAGAAAATCAATAGAAAATTTCCATAAACGCAATAGAAACACAACCTTTGAAATCAATAGATTGCAGCGCTCAAAATCTATAGAAACCTGCAACAACAAATGGACGAATCGATTGAAATTTCCTCAAATTCAATAGAAGTTTCGTGTCCCCCAAAAATCAATAGGCTGATTGAAAAAATCAGGCATGCGTCCTCTGGGAGTGGGGCGAGGGTATGTGGGTGTCGGATGAAATTGAGGGAGTATCTCGACATGGTGGGGGAGGGTGAAACGAGGAGATAGAGTGATGGGGG